TTGGAGATACTTGTGTTTTTTTTGGGAGAAACCCCATGGAAATAGCCCGTATGAAGTTTATAGTATACCGTCTCGCGAAATACCGTACCGTCAGAACATTTTTTCTAGCTTGTTTTTAAACGGGCTATTATCTGTTGTATTCCATATATAGATTACATTTTTGAAGAATGTTGACAACAAATACAAACTATGAGCACATCAATAAAAACATTTTCATATATCAACTAGTACAAGCGTTACGCGATGACTTTTTGCCCACATTCTTATCAGTTATTCTGCTTTCATTTATGAGTTAAAAAATTCACTCTTTCGTTGGAAGATAGACTTCTACCTTCTTAACAATGTCAGAAACTGTGAAATTGTTTGGATGAGTTGTAAGAATATCAGAAAAAGAATACCGAGCATAACGCGATGGCGAAAAAGGACCATAAAATTGAGAGCGAGATGATTATTCTTCTTTATTCGTCTAATATATCCTATATTAAAAACTATGCTTCACTAAGGTTTTTAGCTAACACTTTGAGGTATTCGATCGAGAAACAAAATTCTAAAATATATGTTTCATCTCTATGGAAGACTGCTTGCATGAATGTAACGCGATGACGCAGCTAAATCTTTTGTATTTTGTTGTTACCATAAATAAAAATGTGGGAAACGAGATTTCATTTTAATACTTTGCTTCATATAGTAAGATATTTACTAGCATGTTCTCCGTCAGTCGAAGCTGCTTTAAATTTATTTTGTACTACTTCGACCCGTGAGATGTGGCAATGACATGATCTAGACGGATATTCCATATAATTCTTTATTACGGACTCGAGAAATGTGTAAAAAGATGAAAGATATAATTAATCATATGTGCTAACGAAAATCAAAAGTTTTGGATACATTTCGAGATGTGATTCGGATGGTGGTGATGGAAAACTCTCAAAATTATGGCTAAAAATTTCCACTTTTGAGGTGACACGTTACGCGTACAAGCTGATATATAAACAATATTTAAATACAGATAAAAAATATACAATGATTGGTCTCTGAGAAACATTACCAAAAGACTTTTTGCTACGACACGGGAGAGCGGTATAGCTATCTGATACCGCATACCGTCTCGTACCGCGGCTTATCGATACCGTCCCGTCCCGTCCCGCCCTACTTCTTGTTTTTTCAATACCGTCTCGTCCCGAGACGGTACGGTACGGTACGGTACAGTATTGATATCGCATCCCGCCGGTCTCTGGTCTGTAATCATTTTTTTGTTGCTTTATTATTATTTCTTCTCATTTTACTTTATTATATTGTTCAGCTCATTGATGATGAAACTGTTGATTTTCACAATAAATATAAATTGAGAAAATCTTGAGTAGGGGTGGCACTTTATCTTTATATTACTTTGAAAAAGGAAAGTAAAGTAAAGTAAATTTCTTTACTTTACTCGATAAAGTAAAGTATATCAATTTTACTGTACCCGGTAAAGTAAAGTTCAGATGTTTTACCAAAACCGTAAAATCAAAAGAAATTAATAAAAAGTGATATCTCGACTACTTTTTCTAGTTTACTTCACTTTACCGGATAAGTACTTGACTTTATTCAATAAAGTAAAGTGAACTAGAAAAATGGTCAAAATATCACTTTTTATTAATTTCTTTTGATTTTACATTTTTGGTAAAACATCTGAACTTTACTTTACCGGGTACAGTAAAGTTGATATACTTTACGTTATCGAGTAAAGTAAAGAAATTTACTTTACTTTACCTGCCAAAGTAAAGATAAAGTGCCATCCCTAATCTTGAGGCTGTGGGTGAGTGTAGGTGTACTATTAATATTTCATACACACTCAAACCCACACCCACACCATTCAAAACAAAATAAATAAACTCCTGTAAATCTATATAAGCAAGATTATAAAATAAAAATAGTAGTAAGATAAAAAAAATAAGAGTTTAATTCCATTGAATATAAAATATATCTAATTTTCGAAAGATTGTATAATTCTTCAATAATTCCTTCGAATCAATCATTTCATATAATTTTTCAATGAGATCATCTGTTCCATTTTCGACCATAATACAAACTTTCATTGGATGAGACATTTTATTCATTTTGATTCTGTCTAATATCCATTCAGTAACTGATAAAAGATTATAATCAGCAATTATTTGTATTGAAAATGATTTCATTTGTGGAAAAAGATCAATAATAAAGTCCACATAACCACTATCTTCTATATTTACTATTGTTACATTTGTAATCTCACTCTTTTCCACACATCGACGAAGTTCAATCATATCTTCTTCAGCACGAAGAAATTCGTCTGGATGTGTTAAAAATGTTACACATAACATCATTAAATTTGGTAATACTTTAAGAATTTTAATAAATGCTTTCATAGAATTGATCGAACATTTAATTACTAATCGAGTTACATTGATAATTTTAAATAAACTCTTAAGTCGATTAATATAAACTTGTTTTTTATTTAAATTAATTATATTTAAATTCACACCAGGACAAGAATGTCTATCATAAGATAAATGTTCTTCAAAATCATAAAAGTCTTGACTAAAAAAGTACAAAAGAATTAATAAAAAGAAACTTAAAAAATCGATGGATACTTATAAGAAAAAATAGAATAATTAATTTCATCATCATCAACTACAATTCGAAATATCCATTGTTTTTCCATCTAAAATGGTAATAAATAATTCGGAATTGTTTTATGATAATTAGTTATCCGAAAACTTTCATCCATATATTCCCTACAACACAAACTAAATCTTTCCAAATGTGGCATATTCTTCCGAATTAATTCTTCCCATCGATTTGCATCTAAATAACGTTTATCTTTATTAAAAACAGTCACACTTAATATATTTAATTGTAATGCTAATTTTGAAAGTAATGCTTGACATAAATTACATGGAAGACCATGAATACATAAATTGAATTGAACTAAATTATTTATATTTGTGAAGAGTTCGATTGAATTTCTAGATTCAAAACCCATAATAGTAAAACAATATAAATGAGTTAATCGAGGTAGATAAGACAATAGACGACGAAATTCATTAAGAGTTAAAGAATGAAAGAAAACGAAGAATTCAATTGATGTATATTGTTCATTTGTTGCCACTGGAAGAGTTAAAGAAGAATTCTCATAATCACCGGTGTCTACTTTGAGGTATTTTAAGAAAGGTAACTGAAATAGAAGTTGAAAGATATCACCAATATCATCATCACAATCATCAAAGAAAATTTGTAATGATGAAAGACGTGGTAAGGATTTCAGATAGATAAAAAGATCAATAAATTGAAATGTTGAAATATTTTTAAGAATAATCGATTCTAAATAATTAAATGTTGAATTAAATGGAGCTAATTGAATGAATTCTTCATAATATAGTTCATTATCACAGTAAAATGAAATAATACGATGTTTATTAGGTAAAATATATCGTTCATAACGATCTTTGATTGTTAAGTTTGATTGAGATTTGGATGAAAATTGAACTTTTAGATAGAAAGTTGAATGTATTATGAGGTTTTGAAAACGAATATTTAAGTTTGAAAATGATTGATAAATAGCACAACCATCTAGATAATCAAATATCTCGTAAAAAATTTCATTTGATAAATTTTCAATATGATTCATTATTTATCTATAGAAACAAAGAATTTTTAAATGAATTTAATAATTTAGATTTCTTATTTTTTCTCAGATAATACTCGAGGCATAATTTGTTTTCTGAATTTATTTTTTTTCTTGACTGATTGGATACAATATATGACGTATTAACATAGATAGTTATCGTTCGTTTTGTTTTAGTTCTTTCTTTTCCTTTTTATAGATGGTGTTAATATATGTTTCACATATATATTTCTTTCGTTTTCTTGAGGGTGTGGGCGGGAGTATCTTAACTACAGCCACATCCACGCTCTCAAGAAAATGTGAAAATATGGAATAAAATAGTAAATAAATTATTCACTTTAATTGATTTATACACTTTTCGATTAATAAATCCTTATTTCTCAAGATAAGTAAGTCCAGTCTTACAAGAAAATTTTAGAGTACGTTCAAATCAATATTAATAGTTATCAGAATTTTTAAACATTTCGTATCATCGAAAAGCATGGTTGCGCTCACAATAAAGTATCATAAGAAGTGTACAGTTTCGTGGTAAATATATGAATGTTATAATAAGGCATATCCTCTTAGATATGACACTAGCCGAAAACGATGGTAGTCATAGAAAAAATTCTATAGTTACTATGCAATTTTCAAAATTTCTAAATAGTTGCACAAAAATGGCAATTACATAGAAACTACAATGATTATAAGAAATTGCAAGAGTAACAAAGAAATTCAAGTAATTACTGGAGAAGAATATAAAACGCGTTGCATTTTGCTTCACAACATACAACACATTTTTTTTGTGATACATATGACTCATGTTAAAAGCATAGTTCGAATCTACTCTTCTGTATGTCTGTTACTTTTTTTTGTAGTGTGATATCGATAGGTTTTAGGATATTGTTGTTTCCATCGGATTATTTCTAAAGAATTTGTAGTTAATGTATGTAAATTTTTATAATGCTCTTAAGATCTCCGTTAACACACTGACTATCAATCTAATAAACTAGCCTCGTTATTATGATCTTTTTTTCTCTTCTTCACTTATCTTTGCATACAATCTCGTTGTCCATTTTATGTATATGCATATATAGACAAATATCGATTCACAGTACTATATGTCATTTTACATCGTTTTATACTCCCAACATAGACAAAATCAAATCCCCAAATGAATGTTAAGAACTTAGTTTTCTTTAAAAATATATAAATCTTCATTCAATTACCTTGAAAACAAAAAGGATCAGTAAAATAAAGATCTTAGAATGTTAGTGATTTTTATTTATTAAAATAATAGATATTTACAACAGGTTATTTTTGTTCTAATTTAATTGTCTTCTTTTCTGCTCAGATATTTACTTGACAAAATGACTACGAATTATTCAAATACACAAATTGGAGCATTCGAAATCAGTTCTGTTTACAATTGTGATGATTTCTATAAATCCAATGCTGAAGCCAATTATATTAATCTTGAAAAAGGTCTACTTCTATTTGTGTATCTACATGAAAGTAGTAATAGTACTTTAAAATCTAATGTACACATATACAATAAGCTATGTGATGGTCAAATTTGTTATCACACAATTGTATCGAATGGATTTCATGATCCATATTATTGTGCTTATGATCATTCTGAAGCCTATCATCAACAAAATTTGTGTAAAGAATGGTATACATGGAATTGTACATGACAGTTCTGCAAAAAACAGCATTTTTTTATTTCTACTAATGCTAAACGTTACATCAATAATGAGACAGATTTAAAAGTATCGAATTTAATTCGTTTCATTCGTCTGTTTTCTCGTCATTTTATTCAGTCAGTTATTGCGAATAACGACATTCAAGCATTGTATCGTGAGATCATCGTAATCATGGTGCAAATTATTGATTGTGCATTTCAGGATATCGATAAATTACGAATGTTTCTAGGCGGACGAATAATCAATCAATTAAATAAAAAAACTCTACAAGGCCTAGCCGAAGAAATGTCATATTATGTACCAGTGGTATTTCTGACTCCAGAAAAGGTTAAATTCACAAGTGTATGGTATACTCAATCGTTACGTAAAGTTAGCATTAATTTTGGAAATTTATCCCGAGAATTTACACAGTACTTATATGATCAATTTCATAAATATTACTGTGAATGATTGCAAGATCATGGCAATTGATTGTATAAATAAAGAAAATAGTGTAGAACTGCATTTCAATCAAATCCTTTAAAAGTATTGTGATCGTTGCTGACTTTTCGAAAAAAGACAATATATGCGGATTGTATTTTATTTATCTTTAGAAAAAATAAATAATCATGATTATCTTATAAATGATAACATTGCAGTTTAAATAGGATGGGTGTGGATGTGATTGTCAGTTGATCATGATGCTCTCATACCCACATCCACCCCTCAAATTCCTCTTTAACGCTCAGAAAGAAAACAATATAAATAGAGATAAAGATTGTTTATTCCAATTAATCTCGATTCATCTTAACTCTAAAAAGGATATTCATATATTTTGTGTTGAAGATTATTAATGACCTATCAAATGTCTTCGGATATTGATAGAGCTCTTTATATATAACTTTCGGTAGATTCATAGTACTAATAACTACAACTGGCAATTTATGCAATTATTTTGTTTTTCTTTGTATTCCACCATTAAATAAACATCCAGATGCATTATTTATGGTTAGTACATCCATAGGAAGTTTATTATTTATAAACACCGGTTTATGGACAATTATTATTCGAATATTAAATGGAATTGATAACATGAATCGATCATTATTTGGGTGTAAAACAAATGCTTGATTAACATAGTCAGGTGGTTGTTTTAGTTTTATGTATAATTGTTTTGCAGGTTTTTATCAATTTCTTATATTATTACTAAATACTGAATGGCAAAGATTAATAATTATATCTACCGCTATTATTCATCTTTCAATATTTATTCCAATACCAATATATAATACGAATTATCAACCGTCATCAGCAACATTTGTTTGTAAAAGTTCACTTCAAATTATAAATGTCTATAGTAATTATTGGTTATTATTTTATGTCAGCTGTATTAACATTATTGTTATTTACTTTAATATGGTATAATTTTCAACAATTTTTACGATGTCGTCATTGTATAGTATGTGTTGTAACTCGTATGATACTTATATAAATGAGTAGTATATTGTTATATAATGATTACATAATCCATGGTTAAGACACATGTAAGAGTAAGTTATGAATTTCTTATTTTAGTGATTCTTACATTATTTACTTTATTAACAAATGGTACATCATTTTGGATTTATTTATTCTGTTCTAAAACATTTGAAAGAATTTATTTTCAAATTCAAATTCTTCCATTATCGAGCACAACCGAATTCTTTAACAACAACAACAATAAAAACATTTCAATGAACTAATTTATGTGTCTATATTAAATTTTATATTGTAAATCTTTAATAAATAATTCAAATATATATATTCATTATTTGTTGTCAAAAAGTAATGAGCGTGGGTATAGATTAAATATAGCATCGATCCCAATCTTTGATACTTTTGCTTGCTTGCTAAAATTTGTTTGATAATGATGCTGACTTAATTATAAATGAAGATATGCCTTGTTGTATTGCTCACTGACCATGCAGAATCTACAAAGAAGATATCACGATTCCTTATCAATTACAAGACAGATAATCAATCTGTAATTTATTCTTTAACAAATTTCTTCGTTGTCAGAATAAAGAGCAATTATTATTAGAATTATAGATTAAGTGTAAAATGTATCAAGATTATATATGTGGAGATGTACATTTTTTGACGTCGATCCCATAACTGATATCGTGTACATCTATAAGGAGGATAGATTGATTTAGCCTTTGCTCGGGCGTGTGAATCAAAATTGCTTGACTCAATTATAAATTCTAGCGAATAAATTAAAATCGAAATTATTTGTAAAACATTTGTCGCAGATATAAGCATAGATTTAGCTAAAAAGAAATTGTTACTACTTTAATCGGATATTTATCGAAAGTATTTTTTATAGCTAATATTAAAATAGATTCTCTTATATTCGAAGGTAGATCTGGGTGAGTGTGAATATTGTGCTGACTTACACGTACCCAGATCCACATTCCCATCTTCGCTCTCATTACGTCGTACATCTGATTTGATTTTAAATTATTCTTTAGGTTATTTGTTATTATTCACAGATATATCCATTTGTGTCATTTATGAACTTACTTCAAAGATTTTTTGTAACGGAAATGTTTCAATGACCATATATTCTAAATCCTATGGATAGAGGGTGTGGGTGTGAGTATAGGTATCATAAATATCATACACCTACACCCTCAACCAAAACCACGTTCAGAATCCAAACTATTTTCTTATGTCGAGTCATTACAACCAACTGATTTACTACAAAATATTTGGACATGAGATTTATTACAATCATGAAATATAAATAATATCTAAGAATGATTTATTTGAAATATTGATTCTAAGAACAGAGATGAATTCGTGTGAGTGTGTCAATGGCAGTAAATCCTACTTTTCTGAGCCTTGGAAAAAACTATAAAAAATCTCATCGGACAAAATTTGACCACGATTGAGACGTTTAAAGTAAAAAAAAGATATTGGATAAAGCTCAAGACTAGAGGGAGGAGTTCCAATGTTTTCTGATCAAAAACTCTTATGCTTGAAGTCCTTCTATAGTGCGACAAAAAGATTTCTTGTTGCCTTGAGCGTTTATAATTATCGGTAAGGTTTTTCCCATTAACTAAACAAATCATAGGCTTTGTCCCACTAAGAAAAATATAATTCTACTACACAAACAATCGTCCAATCACCCTATTTCGATTATGTTTTATCAATGTTTACGATACATTCAATCTTCACTTTTTTTACGGTTCGTCGTCAGTTCTCTTCTTCGTGCCTCTCAGTTGAAGTTTTTTTCTTTCGACTCACTCAAGAAAAAACATGATCATAGCAACAGAAGAAGTAGGAATGTGCTTTTAAGATGTGAAGCATCTGTGCAGAAGTCTGATGTGGGTTTCTTTTTCATTTCTTTCTCGGATTATTTTTTTTTTGTATGAAGTAATGTGTTCAACATTTCTCGAAAATTTTCATACGATTGCTTGATATTGTCGTGTCTATCACTCTTTATTAGTAACAACGTGCTGATCGTTGAACAGCTTGTATATTACCTTTCAAGAAAAAATAATGAATTTAGTTCTATATGAAATCTCATTGTGCCTCTAAAGCGTTAGAATCACAAAGAAAGATCTGTTGTCTTTTTTTTTTAAATAATTAATTGGTGTACATCGACAACAGAAAATACGAACAAAAATTTTCTTTGTTACATTTTGGTTATGAATATATGTGGGAGAAGATGAAGATATGATGTGCGTTAAGTTTAGTCTAGATGGAGCCGTTTTCTAGTGGATTGTTGATGAATTCAAAGGTTCTATAATGATACAATAAACTTCTAACAAATAGATCTTGAGAATGTGGGTGTGATTCTAGAAAAAGATAATACCTACCGACACCCCATCCACACCCCCACCCTGTCGTTCACTATATTCATGATAGTAGACTGCGTAAACGGCGGAACAGATAAAATCATATATTTCTTCTTGAATTCACATCTATATTTACACTACATAAATGATTGAAATAAAAGAATAGTAGACAAAGATATTGTATATGAAAAGACTTTTATATAGATGTCCAGTTGAATATTATTTGTATGTAATATGTCTAACGCAATATCAATAGATTATTGTGAAATAGAACTTATTTTGTAGACAAAAAAAACAAAGAAATACTAGTTTTTAATGAATATAGATATATTTTAACCTATAATACAAATGAAAGACGTAATATTCATCCATTTTTGAAGCGTAAATGATTAAGTAACTGTCACAGTTAACAATCATCTGACTTGCAGTGGCAATCCTAAGAAATTAGTAAGGAGTGACAATTAGTCGGAGAAGGCGGCAATCATTGTAAAAAATCGGCTTTTGAGGCGTATTGGAAGTCATATAAGATCTTTTTTAATGAATTTTAATGAGGAAAAACGAAAAAAAAGCATTGCCGAGGGGTCGCAGTCGCCGGATTGCCAACTGCTGCCTTGCAGATTAACTTATTGGATATCATGAACTAATTATTCAAAACACAATTGTTGCATATAAGATCTATTCTGTGCAGTTTGTATGGGCTTTCAGTGAAAAGTCTATTCGACAATAATCGAATCAATGATTTTCATTTTCGCGGAATTTGTTTCAACGAAAATGAGCCTTCGACAAAAACATTTTCCAGCGAAAGTAGACTAAATCGATCTTATCAACTATTACGATAGGATGTGGATGTTGGGTGTGGGATTATCGTGTCTTACGCTAATGTATCACACCTACACCCACACCCAAACTCGCAACGTCACACCCACACTCAAATTCGCAACATCATATCTACACCTACAATCGCACACCAACACCCAAACTCAAACTCAAACTCACAACATCACCCTACAACTGCGTACTCACTCACAGCAGCGCTCCGTCTAATAGAAAATGCGCCATAATTCAATAAGCATCGGGGCATGCAACCATGGCACTTTTGTTTGCATACGAATGTTGACTGGATCATAGCAAGTTGTTGTTAAAGAGTTGCTCAACTTTTTCTTCTTTCATCGAAAGATACAGTTTAATTTGTATTTAAAGAGCAAACAACAAAAAAACAATCAGTTACTCTTGATTTTTCTTCAACAGCTTATGTGTGTTTGAATAAGGTAAGTAGTCGACAGTGAACTTTTCACATATTAAAAAAGTATTAGATATTTCATTATTCTGAATATTGTTGAGACTTCTTCATATCTTGACTAACCCTATCTACATATATTGTTAGGTAAAAAATAAGTCTTCTACTAATAGATGCTTTGGTGAACAAATTTCTTGTGAAAGATCAAAGTTTGCAAAGGAAAGACAGATGCGAGTTTATCAGTGAAGGGTTCGCATGGAAATGATTTTAACAAATATTCAATGACAACTAATATCCCTCATGTTTTTTTATGATACTTGTGGCATACTAAGTTCATATGATGTATTCAGGTGCATAAACTGTAATTGTTTGATATTAATTTATTCGAGTAATTCTGTTTCGATACTTTAGTGAATCTAGTCTTTGCAAGTAAATATGAGGTTCTGTGAAAGAATCTCCCTTTATTCAAAATAAAATCTATGTAGAAAATACAGATTTTGACGACGACTCTCTGGCAACTCTTAGGTATTATTTGATGATGCCATTTTTAGTAGAAATTTAAGAAGAGTTCTACATATTCTGATTAAGTATAAATCGTAGAAGTGTTTCGCATCAACCTAATTAATTTATAATTCTCCAAACAATTTAGAGTATAGATGATGAAGAATATTCTACTCACACCTGCAATCATTATGTACCTAGACCTACATGATAGCAACAGTTGTAGCTCAGAAGCTTTATGTCACCGGAAGAGAGCGTCTCGTAAATTAAAACCTAATTGATTTATTTACTTTTGAGAATAAAGTTCCCTCAGTGATGTCAACTTTTATTTTTATAAATTTCAGATTTTATATCTAGAATGAAGGCGTTATTATTATTGGCTTTGCTTTCCATTGGATTGCTTTTCGTATTACCAGCAGGAGTCAATAGCTACCTATATTGCTCTCCAGGAACCTATGACACTACGCCAGCGAATAGCTCGGTAGAAGCTTGCGTGAATTGCTCGACCGGGAGTTATCAACCCTACTATGGTCAGCAGAGCTGTTATAGTTGTCCTCCGGGTTCATATTGCGAAGATGGGATGAGCTATCCGCAATCGTGCCCTGCAGGAACATATCAACCTATTTATGGTGGTGCCTCCGCTCAAGATTGTTTACAATGTCCAAATGGTACCTATAACCCCTATGCTGGGCAGTCTAGTTGTTCAATTTGTCCAAGTGGCTATTTCTGCGCAGCCGGATCAAACAGTGCTCAGCCTTGCCCTTTAGGAACACATTCACCCACTGCAGGTAGTGTCACAGTACAAGCCTGTTTACAATGTCCCAGCGGCACGTATACTCCTTATCCTGGACAGTCTAGTTGCACCATTTGTCCTAGTGGTTATTTCTGTCCAGTCGGAGCAAACACTACTCAACCTTGCCCAAGTGGTTCATATCAACCCATTCCAGGTAGTGTCACAGTACAAGCTTGCTTACAATGCCCAAATGGCACATATACCGCAAATCCTGGCCAGTCGACTTGTTCCGCTTGTCCTGTTGGATCGTATTGTGTCGCAGGAGCAAGCAGTCCTCAACCATGCCGGTCAGGAGCTTATCAACCAGTCTCACACAGTGTTTCGGCTCAAGCTTGTTTGAGTTGCCCTGCCGGTACTTTTTCCGCAAACGCCGGACAATCCAGCTGCTCGATTTGCCCCAGTGGTTATTTCTGTCCAGTCGGAGCAAATAGCACTCAACCATGTCCATTAGGAACATATTCGCCGGCTACAGGTGGTGTCTCGATTCAAATCTGTCTAAAATGCTCAAGTGGTACTTATAATTCAAATCTCGGCCAGTCGACGTGCACCATATGCCCTGCCGGATATTATTGTTTAGCTGGAGCAAATAGCACTCAGCCCTGTCCAATATCAACTTATCAACCAACGACAGGTGCTGTATCGGCTCAAGCTTGTTTGAGTTGTTCTGCCGGTTCTTATAACCCCTATCCAGGACAATCAAGTTGCACGATTTGCCCCATGGGCTATTATTGCGTTAATGGAATAAATGGGACAAAGGCATGTCCATCTGGTACTTATCAACCAACCATACGTGCCACATCAGTTTCATCCTGTTTGAAATGTCCAAATGGCTCATATAATTCGAATACCGGCCAGGCTAGTTGTTCCATCTGCCCAAGTGGCTATTATTGCTTAGCTGGAGCAAGCAACACAATTCCATGCCCTACAGGAACTTTCTCAGCGATTCCCGGAAGTAGCTCGGTACAAGCTTGCTTAAAATGTTCAGCAGGCAGTTATAATTCGATGGTTGGGCAAGTGAGTTGTACAATTTGTCCTACTGGTGCTTTTTGCTCAGTTGGATCAAGCAACACACAAATGTGTCATTCAGGAAGTTTTCAGCCTCTTGAAGGTAGTATCTCAGCTCAAGCTTGTGTCCAATGTCCGTATGGAACGTATAGCGCAAATCCTGGTCAAGCAAACTGTTTGACATGTCCTACTGGTTATTTTTGTGTGAATGGAACAAGCAGTCCACAACCATGTGCGTCAGGAAATTATCAACCGATACCAGGTAGAGTGTCAGCACAAGCTTGTTTGAAATGCCCTAACGGTACATATGTCGCGAATCCTGGTCAGTCCGCATGCATTACTTGTCCTAGTGGAGCATATTGTCCAGCTGGATCGAGTAACGCGTTGTTGTGTCCAGCAGGAATGTATCGCGCTCAAACAGGTGGTATATCATCTCAAGATTGCTTGGGATGCCCTGCTGGCACATATTCCGCATATCCAGGACAGTCATACTGCACCAACTGCCCTGCTGGATATTTCTGCACAGCTGGAGCAAGCACCCCACAGGCTTGCGCAATAGGAACTTATCAGCCAAATTCCAATAGTATATCAGCCCAAGCTTGTTTAAAATGTCCCAATAATACTTTTACCTCGGGCGGTGGTCAATCAAACTGTATTGGTTGTGGTTGGTACTACTATTATTACTATTACGGTTCTTGTCAATCTGGATATGACGATACAATACAGTGTATTGCAGGTACCTATCAAAATAACGCAAGTAATATCTCTGCTCCCGTTTGTTCCGATTGTCTAGCAGGCAGTTATAGCTCGAGCGCCGATCAATCCAGCTGCAATACTTGTCCCGCTGGTTATTTCTGCGAAGTCGGGTCTAGCATCCCAAGCCCTTGCCCTGCAGGAACATTCCAACCAAATACAGGTGCTGTATCGATTCAAAATTGTTCGACTTGTCCCGCCGGGTCATATACCACAAACGTTGGACAAACAAGTTGCTCCACTTGCCCTGTAGGTTATTATTGCGAAGCCGGATCGAAAAACACACAACCGTGTCCTTCAGGAACCTGAAAATCATTCATAAATTATGTGAGCAAGAATTAAATATGTATCTATATTTGTTTTGTTAGTGTAAATTGATAAAGATAAGAAGAAATATTCGTTTTGTGAAATTTTGATTAATTAATCGAAACTATTGAAATACAGAAATTATTCCTTGAGTTAAATTCTAACAATAGATCTATGTATACTATACAAGATTAAAATAAGATAAATCTATTGTTTATATGCTGATTATGTTCAAAGAAGAAATGTGTTGATACGTTCAAGTTTATAATACAATAATAGATGAGAGAGAAATAGTTTTGAGGAATTATTACTTTTCTATTAAAACATAAACATTATAATGACAATATTATTAATCAGAAATGTATATATATACGTATGAGAATCATATCGGAAGATATCTGTGACTAATAGAGATAAAATGAAGTGATTGGTAATCTATTGTGAGCAATCAAATGTATGTCTATCTCATTCTATGTTTTGAAATAGTTGTTCTTATGTACATAAGTCTAATTTTCATGTTTTTTTTTCAGTTAATTCGAAATCGAAATTTAATAATTGTTGCTTGAAAAATGATTTACATAATTTCTGAATAATACTGTATCAACCATCTCAAGGTGGTACCTCGGCTCAAGCTTGTTTACAATGTCCCAACGGCAGCTATAATGCATATCCCGCACAGTCGAGTTGCACCATATGTTCAACTGGTTATTACTGCTCAGCTGGATCTAGCAATATGCAACCCTGTGCTTCAGGGACATATCAAGCTATTACGGGCAAGTCCTCCGTTCAAAGTTGTCTACAATGTCCAATAGGAACTTATGGCTCAACTTCTGGACAGTCGACTTGCACCGTTTGTCCAAGTGGTGCTTACTGTGCACTTGCTGCAAGCAATCCACAATACTGTGCATCCGGGACATATCAGCCGGTTACAGATGGTACCTCGAATCTAGCTTGTTTAGCTTGCCCCGCTGGCACATTTGCTCCAAATTTGGGTGTGTCAAATTGCAATGATTGCCCTAGTGGTACATATTGCATGGCTGGATCAAGTAGTACACAAGCTTGTCCTTCAGCAACTTATTCGGCGATTCCACATCGTACTTCATCTTCAGCTTGTTTGGCATGTCCCAATAATTCAAACATTGGACAGACAACTTGTCCAAGTTAAATGATCAAATTTTCCTATATATCCATCTTTCGTCAAATGAACTATCGTGGTCTCTTAGGACTATTTTTATAATAATTCAGTGTGTGACTTTCTATTTATTCGCATATCTCTTTTTCTCATTAATCTCGCGTATTTTCCTGTAGTTTGCTTTCATTTATTTAGCTTATAATCTTAATAAATACTTTTAATATATTTCTAATTGTGCCATTAAAAACAATAGCAGTGTCGTTCTGTAAGATATTTGACGTCATCCAACGAATGTAGTCATATAAATCAAAGCACTGTCGACAAATGTTCATCATCATTGATTTCTCTTCAGTAGTCATATTGTATTAAAGAAGATTTTCGATAAAAAGTCACTAATAATCTTGAGGATTTAATGATAGAATTTTTGTTATTTCTATAAACAAATTATGCTCATTTGTAAACTAATTTCTGTTTAAATTACTCTAGAAAGCGATTATTTCGTATTTATATTTTATTCGACATTTTTCTTTTCGATCTTTGTCCAGCCATTGACTGGTTTCAATTGAAGATGTTCTAGCTGGTGGAGATTATAACAATTTTTATTTTCGAAAAAACTCCATTAAAACATTATAGACTACCAATAAAATACCACCACCTGGTCCAAGACGAAGAACTTTTGGTACAAAACCTTTATAGAGTGCCCAAAATCCTTCTTCTCTAGCGACAATAAATAGAGACGGAATAGACCAGTTATATTTCGATGACGATGATGAAGTTCGAGAAGAGTTTTGAATTCGACTTTTGACAACATCAAATGGAGTGTTCAATACAGTTCCTACACAGCCTCCAATGGCTCCAGCAATGAAATTATTAAGTATCTCAGGTTTTTCTGGTAGGTGAGCTTTGACTCGGAAGATAACACCGAAATAACCTGCATTCCAAGTAATATTTCTCATCATAGTAGCTTCTAAACCATTATACAAAGCTAAAGCTCCTTCTTGTTTAACAATCTTCTTCACACAATCCATAGTCCCTAAGTAGTAGATACAAATAAACTATCTTTATTCCTGGATGAACCGAAATTTGGAGTTAAAGACATACCTAGATAGAGATGAGCACTTTTCTTATCTTGTAATCGAATCTTAACCAATTCAAATGGTACGATAACAAATGATTCCATAGCTCCTGCACTAGCTCCAGTTAATATACTTAGACTTTGATTTGTCTTCTCGACATCGAATAGTTTTCGATAGAATTGACCCCACATGTCATTTGCTGCAAATTTTGTTGCTCTCTTTGGTGCTTCCATCAAGATTGGTGGAATAATACCACGATAGAGACGGCCCACTCCTTCGTGCTGCACAATATTGTTGAAGGAAGCAATTATTCCCATGTTCTTGCCAGTAGATAACTGAGATCTTGTTTTTATGACATCAAGTGGATACATTGTGAGAACTTCAGTAACACCAGCTATGGCACCAGCTGCAAATGAATCCATGTAGTAAAAGATCGATGACGAAGATAAATAAAACTAAATTAAAAATATGTTTCACTGTAATATACAGTGTTGAACTAAAAGAATCATATGGCAGACTTTTACGACTATGAATCTGAGGTAAAAGATAAAGAAAGTCAATTCAAATCAGTTCGCCGTTGATTTTCTGTATCATTTTACGGACCGTTCCACATGGTTAAATTTGCTTTTAAGCCGCAAAATGTTAATCGCTACCTCTGAATAACGTCATGTGAACAATAATTGCATTGAATACTAAAAAACTGATCCTTTTTAGACTCATACTCATTGATTGCCTATGGCTAAGAGTACTACTTACATTTACACGCGTCAACGTTAAAATATATCTATATTTTCGATACACTGAAAGAAAATCGTCATAAATAATCCTCCTACCTACATAGAACGAACAATTTTGTCATGATGTGAGAATGCTATTGGTACATAACTAATCGAATATATAATACCTGGTATGAACACACCATCAAGCGACCTCTTTCCAATTATATTCGAAAACAATGCTATGGTCAAATTCTCAAAAGATTTCAACACTTCTGTGATCTATTATTGATTATGAAAAATTAGCTCTTTTGCTCAGGCCAAATGAGTGATATTCAATCTATTTTTTTATTGTTCTTGACAACATTTAAGATTCTTATTTCTTTTTATATGACGAAAAAAAACACAAAGAATAAAAAAAAAGATAAGATCTACGATAAAAAACAAAAGAAGCAATGCATATAAAGAAAATGACATACTAACATAAATAAAATAATAAATATGGCTGAAAGAGAAATAACACAATATCAAGTTTATGGAATTCGTTGGATTCAATTAATTATTTATATATTAGCAACATTTTCAAATGCATTAAGTGGTATGACATTTTCTCCCATTGCAGCACAAACATCAAATTTTTTTAATATAACAATAACTCAAGTGAATTCATTGTCTATTGTATTTTTATTTCTTTATACAGTTGGTACAATATTATCAATATGGTTATCAAGAAAATTATCAATGTATGCAACAATGATTATAGGAGGAATATTAAATCTTGGTGTTTTTATTCGTTTATTAGCATTAATAAAACCAGAATATGGATATTATTCATTACTTATTGGACAAATATTTCCAGCATTAGCAGCACCATTTTTTCTAAATTCTACAGCTTTGTTTTCTGCTCGTTGGTTTCCACCGTCACAACGTGATATAGCAACAGCTATTTGTTCAATGGCTAATCCATTAGGTAAAATAATTTTTTTCCATTTTTATTTTTTATTTTTATTTTTGTTAAATAAAAGGCTTAGCAATTGGTTCATTAGTTCCATCATTATTAGTAACTGATAATCCAACATCGAAGGAATTTTTTATTCTTTTAATAAGTGAAGCTGGATTTACATTATTAGCAACATTATTATTAATACTAATATTTCGATCAGGTCCACCAACACCTCCATCACCTTCTGAAGAACATCATCAATCAATAAATTTAAAAGAAGATTTAATAAATCTTTTAACAAATTGTCATTATATTGTACTTTTAATAGGATTTTCATTTGGTTTAGCTTTATTTAATTCCATAACAACATTATTATATCAATTAATTGCACCAAGTGGATATTCAAGTGTAGATGCAGGAATATTTGGTGCTGTTGTTATTGTTGCTGGTCTTGTAAGTGCTTTTGTTGTTGGTGTTGTTATGGATAAAACTCATGCATATCGTTTAATATTAAAAATTTTATTAATTGGTGCTTGTGCTTCAGCAATATTTTTTATTGTTATTCTTCAACCAAATAAATATTATCCATTAGCTGTATCAATTGGTTTATTAGGATTTTTTTTATTACCATTATTACCTGTTTCATTTGAATGTGCTGTTGAATGTACATATCCAATACGTGCTGAATGGTCAACAGGATTTTTAATGTGTTTAGGAAATATTCTTGGTGGAATATTTATATTTATACTTGGTTATCTTATTAAATTAGAACCAGAATATAAATCTGGTCAAATATTTACACCATCAGCAATATTTATGCTTTGTTTTTTTGTTATTAGTTCAGGAACATTATTTGCATATAAAGGACCTTATCGAAGACTTGAAGCTGAACGTAAAACTGTTAATTTACAATCGGATAATACAACTACACTTAATATATAAACAAACTTTTTTTCTTTTTTTAACAAATTTTTAATTTAATAATCATATTCAATTATTTTTCTATGTTATATTTATCAGTTTTGACAAAATTTTCTTAAAATAAATCTTTAATACAATTTACTTATATATATATAATACAAAGAAGGTTATAGAAAAGTTTTGTTTTTATTATATTTTAGTTTCTATTTATAAGATGTATTCGTATAAGATGAATTATCTTTGTTTGAATAAATTTTTGTAATTCTTGTCTAAACATACGTGATGTTATGATGCTTACAAAATTTAAACTATACGAGTCCGATATCAAGATACAAAAATTTTGATATCCTTGCCGTTTCTGATTATGTTGTTTTAAAAAATAAAACCTTAAATTAATTGTTACGATATTTATTTAAATAACATTTAATAAAAGTAACAATGGTGATGCTTATGAAAAAAACAAGGACCTATTAATTAATGGGTATTTCCATGAAATCTCAACCAAGGTGTGCAAAATTTTTCTCAGATTTTCACGAAACTTTCAGGGTTGATAGAGCATTTAATTCTGATCTTTTTGATAAAAAAAATTTTCAAATCCCTTTCGTTTTCATGGAAAAAATTTCAAAATACTGCTAGTCAGAAATGCAAAATGCCATATTTCTTAAGGCGATGCTCGGAGGTTTTTTATGATTTTCGCTATGAAAAATAGGTCAAAACTTGAATATAAGATGACCATTCGATAGCCCTGAATCAGGCGCATCGATCCACGGTAAAATAAAAAAAAACACTTATACTATCAATTATTACATCGCCGGTGTGTTACGATTTACCCCAAATTGTGGTCCCCAAATTAACTTTTA